GTGCCAATTTTAGTAAAGCATTATTAGTTTGTTTACATTGGACTTTTTTTGGTGCAAGAGTTCATACATGCTAACTTTTGGCTCTTTAATTAAAAAGCTAATAATTTGATGTCTTGTTCTTGTTTACAATAAACAATTAAAAGAATTAAAGAAATTATAAACCACTTAGCAGCTAAGAACTTGATATAGATTAAATGTGACCTTGCTCCAACTTCAAAAGCTTATCTATTTCTCTCATCAATAATTGAAAGAAATAAGACATACATCAATTGTTTACGAATAAGTTTCCACTTATTATTACTTTTAAATTTCTTCTTCCATAAGTCTTTTAACTTATGTCAACACATTTACTTTAGTTACACATTAGAAACATCATATGTTGTGGATGTTTCTAATTAACGTCTACTAGCAAAACAAAAAAAAGTACACCATAATGTATGATCTGATTAGAGGTAAGCTTTAAAAGTTAAGGATAAAACTTTGATTGTTTGAATTTATCAAAAGAAACAACAAGAAATAATCGATATTTCTAAAAGCGTAAGTTAATCAACTCAACTTACTCAGACTCAATTTTCTAACTACTCATGGTCAAGTGAACTATTATTGAGTCCCAATCAAGTTTAAGCTTGCTACAACTTGATTTGTGTAGCTAGCAAGCTCACTTAAGTAACTGACTTTTACTAATTTATTTTGTAATCTATAATTTTACATACTCAAAGATTTTAGTCCAAATTTGAAACTTATGCTTAAACTTAATCTAGCTAAATTCAGTTAATATTCATTTAGTCAATGTAAGATCAAGTATCTCCTTTGTAGAAATTTAATTCTCCTATATTAGTGCAGATTTGATTCTCCTACATTAGTGCAACTTGGTTTCCTAATTTATGTTGGGAATATTTTTCATTTATTCTTCTAATTTAGTCAACTATTCTAATTGTCAAGTTTTTATGAATTTATTTCTATTTTAGAATAGAATAATTCTCTTTCTTTTTATTATTTCTATTTTCTATTTCATGTAAGTAGTTTCCTAATAAGGAACTACACTGTTCCTATTTATTTTGATGTATTCTTTCATTCTAAAAATAAGAAGAAAAATGAACAATTGTTCTTTAAGTTTTTTACATGGTATTAGAACAAGTTGACCTGAATCATTGACTATAACCACATGAGTTTCCTTTATGGCCAGCAGGAGTGATAACTCTTCTTCTACAAAAGTATGGCGTGAGGAAAGTTACAAAAAGGTGATGCTCCAACAAACCCTTCAAAACAAGTTCACAACCTTTGGAATTAGTTTTCTAGCACAAAAAGGTAATTTTTTTAATGCCTTAAGTGTTCAACGAGAAAATACACAATCTTGGATTGATGATTCAAGAGCATCAAATTACATGATTGGAGATGCGTTCTTATTCAACATATATAGACCTTGCTTTGATAGTTCTACTATAAAAATTACTGATGGCTTTCTTTAAAGGTGGTAGTAATAGGTTCTATTGTAGTTTCAAAATACAAAACACTCAACTTTGTTCTCCATGTCCTTAATTTAAACTATAACTACTTTCTATCAGTAAGCTTACGAAAGATAGATGTTGTGTCACTAAATTTTTTTTCAACTTGCGTGAATTTCAGGAATTAGGCTTAGAAGGATTATTGGCAGTGCTAAGATGTGTGCAGGGCTTTACTTTCTTCAAGATGATGCACTTAAGAGACCACAAAACTTTTGTACAGCCTTAGTTTTTAGTATTAGTAAAGATGACCTTATCATGTTATGACATTACAGACTAGGACATCCAAATATTTTATACCTAAAAAACCTATTTCTCTTATTATTCAATAAAATCTCTTAAGATTTTTAGGGTAAAATTTGTCAACTTTTCACGTACATTCGAAATACTAACCTTAGCCTTTATTATAAATCATCTCAACCTTCTCAATGAATCATAGTGACATTTGGAGATCATCAAAAGTTAACAATATCACAGGTTTTAAGTAGTTTGTTATATTCATCGATGATCATACTCGACTCACTTAGGTATTCTTTATAAAAAAAAATTCGAGAATGGTCAAATCTTTCAAAACTTTAATAGCATAGTACAAACCCAATTCCAAGCCAAAATCCAAGTCCTAAAAACTGACAATGAAAAAGAATACTTCAGCTCTATTCTCGACCCTTACCTTACCAATCATGGCATTATCCATAAAAGCTCTTGCATTGATACTCCACAGCAAAATAGAGTTGTTGAACGTAAAAACAAACATTTGATAAAAGTGATCAGATCTCTCTTATTGACTTTTAATATGCCTAAACATTTTTAGAGAAAAGCTTCCTTACTACAACTTATTTGATTAACCAAATGCCTCTTAAAGTTCTTGACTTTAAAACACCTTATCAAACTTTTTTACTTTCAAGCCACAAACTCAGTTGATCTCTACCATTCTCATCAAACCTTTTAGCTACATTGCCTTTGTTCATATTAGCCAACAAAATCACAGCAAGCTTGATCCCAAAGCCTTAAAATGCATCTTCCTTGGTTAACCCTTAAATCAAAAGGGCTATAGATGTTACTCACCATCACAAAAAAAATTTATAGCTCTATAGATGTCATATTCTTTGAGAATCTTTCATTCTACAACAAGAATGATATTCAAGGGGAAAATACCACTCAAGAATATCAATTCTTAGCTGTGGACTTGCCAATTTCCCAACTAGCCCCTCCAATTTCTCAACCAACCCCTTCAAAAACAAAATCCCTACTAGTCTTTCAAAACTAGATTCCCAAACTACCCAACTTATCAATTCTTGCAGATTTTGAAACTGAACTTATTTAGACAACTCTTGACTCTTTAAACCCTAAGGTTATGTAAAAAAAAATAAAAGAACTGATAGTCTACTCAAGAAAGCAAAAAATACAGGAAGAAGTGGATAACTGTGCAAAGGTAAAAACTAAAAATCAACTTGATCCGAGCTTCTAAGAACTTGAAACTAACACAAGTAATGTCTCTATTGAATATGAAATTGAAACTTATGATTTAACTAATGACCTTAACATTCCTATTGCATTAAGAAAAGTGTGAGATCATGCACTTAGTACCCTATTTATAAGTACATCTTATGTGAAAGGTTAAATCCAAACTTTTAAGCCTTCACTATTAATCTTGACAATGTGTAAATTTTAAAAAATATTTAGGAAGCCCTCAATGAACTAGATTGAAAGGCAGCAGTTCTTGAAAAAATCAAGACACTAGAGAAGAATGGAACATGAAAATTTTCATATTTGCCCAAAGGGAAAAACCTAGTTTGATGTAAGTGGATCTTCACAATAAAGCACAATGTAGATAGAAATATAAACAAGTTTAAAGCTAGACTTGTTGCAAATGGGTTCACTCAATTTATAGGATAGACTATAAGAAGACATTTACTCTAGTAGCCAAACTCAATCCAATGAGAGTTCTATTGTCACTAGCAGCCAACTTGGATTGGCTTCTCCGCCAACTTCACATCACGAATGCATTCTTAAATGGTGACTTAGAAAATGATCTCTACATGAAAATTTTTCCTAGTTTCGAAAGGCAAGACAACATAGGCAAAGCATGCAAACTCCGAAAACCTTTGTATGAACTTGAACAATCTCATCGGGGTTGGTTTGAACGATTGATTGAGACAGTGAAGAGGTATAGATTCCTTCAATGTCAAATTGATCATACTATGTCTGTTAAGTTCACTAATAAAGAAAAAAGAGTTATTCTTATTGTTTATATGAATGATATCATAATCACTAAAGACCACAAGAAAAGAATAGATGATTTGAAGAAACTTCTTGCAAAGGAGTTTGAAATAAAAGACTTGGGGTTCCTTAAATATTTCTTGGGATGGAAATAGCTCGGTCTAAGAATGAAATATTAGTGTCTTAGTGTAAATATGTACTTGATCTATTCAAAAAAAGTCAGCATAAATGAATGCAAACCTGCTGATACACCCATTGACTCAATTAATAAAATTGGAAGTGAAAATGAAAACTCTTTCATAAACAAAAGGCAATACCATAGACTAGTTAGGAAGCTTATTTACATTTTTCATACACGATCTGATATCGGGTTTATAGTAGGGATGATGAGTAAATACATCCAACCAAAGAGCAGCTCAATGCTGTTTATTGCATCCTACGATATTTAAAAAAGAGTCATGGTAAAAGTCTATATTTTAAGAAGTCAATAGATAAGGCAGTCGAGGTCTACATATATGCTAACTAGGTTGAATCAATAATAGATAAAAGGTCTACTACTTGATATTGCCCTTATGTTTAGGGCAATTTGATCACTTGAGAAGTAAAAAGTAAGCTATTGTAACTAGAAGCAGTGCTGAGGCTAAGTTTAGAGCAATGTCACATGATATTTATGACGAAATTTGGCTAATGAAGTTATTTAGAGAATTAAAAGCTCAAACTGTAACATATATGATACTGTTCTATGACAAGAAGGCTACTATAAGTATTGTCAAAAATCTTACTTATCATGATAAGATCAAGCACATAGAGCTGAATCAACATTTCCTAAAAAAAAAGATAAAAAATGGGTTGATCAAACTAGCCTATATTCCATCAAGTTCTCAAATTGCAAATATTATGATTAAAGCTCTTCCTAAAAGCATCTTTGACGAATTGAAATCCAAGCTAGGTATGATTAGCATTCATAACCCAGCTTGAAAAGGAGTATAAAAATCTAATTCTTTCACACTAGTACAAATCTGATTCTCCTTCATTAGTGCAACTTGGTTTCTTAATTTATTTTGAAAATATTTCTCATTTAGTCTTTTGTTTTAGTCAATTATTTTGATCATCAAGTTTTTAGGAATTTATTTTTATTTTAGAATAAAATAATTCTCTTTCCTTTTATTATTTTTGTTTTTTGTTTCATGTAAGTAATTTCCTAATAAAAAATTTTACAGTAACAAAAAACAATTATTTTTTAAGTTTTCTACATCCTCAAGTGAAGTATTAGTACAGAAAATAGCGCTCAGTTTTAGCCACCAAGCTCACCATGTCAACTCGATCAAGCAAGATTACCCCACAATGCAGTACTGCTGGCCAGTTCAAATTGATTAAGCTAAAGATAAGGAGCTTGGAATGCTCTTAATTATGGCAAAGATTTGAGCACTCATAACTGCATCAGTTGCATCAATACAAAAGAACTATTACCAATTTATTTTGTACTCATCCTATAATTTTACATACCCATATAGATTTCAGTCCAAATTTAATCTTGTGCTTAAATTTGATCCAGCTAAATTTTCAGTCAATTTTCATTTAGTCAAGGTGAGATCAAATATCTCCTCCGGTCAAGAAGGCGTATAGACAATGACACAATCAAGTCATGTCAACTCGATCAAGCAAACTCCAAAATGCAGTAATAATGGCAAGTTCAAATTTATTAAGCAATAGATAAGGAGCTCGAAATGTTCTTAATTATTGCCGAGATTTAAGCACCAGTACCTGCACCGGTTGCATCAATGCTAAAGAACTTTTACTAATTTATTTTGTACTCAATCTATAATTTTGCATACCCATATAGATTTCAGTCCAACTTTGAAACTTGTGCTTAAACTTGATCAAGCTAAATTTTCAGTCAATATTCAATTAGTAAAGGCGAGATCAAGTATATCCTCCAGTCAAGTATGAGTATAGGAAATGGAACTTAATCAAGTTTTAGACCACAAAACACACTATCAAGCAAGTTGCCCCACAAGCAGTACCGCTTGAAAGTTCAAATTTATTAAGCAATAGATAAGGGGTTTGGAATGTTATTAATTATTGTCAACATTTGAGCACTAGTAACTCCACCAGTTGCATCAACACTAAAGACAATGCCAAAGCCATCCACTATTACAGACTAGGTAAGATGTAGATACATTCGTCGTTACAGGAAGTAATTCATCAAATCATGGAATGAGATAAAGGGATTCTAACCTATAAAGACAACTAATTACAATAATTTAATTTTAAACTATAAATATGAATCAGTTATATCAAAAACAGAGACACTTCACAGAAGGAAATGACCTTAAAATTGAATTACTCATGACCACTTATTGTGACAATTGACAAAATAAGATCAGGTCCACATATATTCTGGCTGAAATTTGGAGATACAATTGCTTACCTCTGGTTGCACAGTATAAAAAGGAAGGTTAAGATCTGGCAGTTCACCACATGTTACCCTCTTCTCCCTCTGTTCTACTTCGGTGGAAATTCCCACCTCAACATTATCAGTCATCAATTTTCTCGCTTGAGACTCAAGTTGTTTACAAGAATTTTTATCCAGATACTTCTGATGTGTTGCAACAGAGTTTGTATTATTTCCTTTATCCATAGAGTGGATGGTTACACTCCTAGACTTGTTAGCATCCTTTGAATTTAGTGGAGATATAGAAGCATCATTATTTGAGATTCCTGTGTCTGAATAATGCTCAGACATAGTTCCAGCGTAAGCAGGTTTCTTAATACAAGATCTTATAGGAGAACTCAACAGGTTATGCAATTTCTGATCATGTTTGCTATTAGCAGCTATGTCCTGCAGGAGAGCAGAAGTTTGCCCTTCAAGCAGTGCCTTTGTTGCAGCAAAATTTAGCCTCCCATGTTCCACTTTCGCATGTTTACTGGGCACATGAACATCAACTTTCTCTCCTTGACCTTTGGCCATATTTTTACTCCGTTTTCTTGATTGTTGAGCCACTGACAATACAGGCTCATTTCTGGACCAAAACATTATATCATTAAAGGGAGTCAAATCCACAATCAACTGAACAAATTATTTTCTCAAACAAAAAGTAAGACACGAATAACTATTAAAATCAGCAACCAAAAACAAGTATGCTTCTCGAATCAGTGATTACATGCTCAAAATAATAGCTCATACTGACAAGACTAAAGTTCTGCTTTTATTACTCATGGTTTAATTGAAAAAAAATTAAAGATAAAATATTACTCCTAAGAAAAAGAGTTTTAAGCGTACAAGAGCCTAGCATATGCTATATGATGACAACAAAAACAGCCAATGCATGGAAATTTATTGTTCCAGCTTTCTCCAGCTTAAGCACTAAATTCTCTTTTAAAGTATTGTAAACAAGGTGTTGGAGAATGAAGGTTGAAGGAAAGTTCCACTTTCAAGACTCCCACATGTATACAGATAATATATAATGTCCTATAACACTTAAAGTTGTGGGAGTAATTGTTAACAAGATATTCATTTACAACTAAATTTTATATATGACATTTCCCTTATTTGGGTACCAACCGGGCAAGTGAGTGAGTTCCATCTTCCTTACGGATCTTTATTGTCAGTTTTCACCTAGCTCCATGAAATACCAAGGCACCTTTCTATGCCATGGTTCTAAGTCTAGACATTTAAATTATGACATGAAAGCACCCATATTGATGAAAACAGAGCTGGAATTTCATGATTCAAATCAAGCCACCATAGTGCAGAATTTTACTTAAAATTCAATCTCAAAACAGTGCCAATTTGCAAGCCTGCAAAACCCAAGCCATACATACTTGGAAAGCTTCATAAGTCCAGTTTCTAAATTATGAATTGGAGTTCTTAGGAATTATGGATTCAGGCAGAATCCAGCATTTTATGTGTCTCTTCCATTTCAACGCCTGGAAAGTGTTCCACTTGGCTATTTTGTAAAAATTTAATTTTGACCATCACCTATTCCTGAAGGGTTATTGCATGTCTGGTAATTATTTTCGATTCATTGTACTGAAAATTCAAACTTAAAATCTATAGCATTGTGTTTTAGAGGAGATATTTTCCTTTTAACTTTGAATCATTTTGGTGTGAGTTCCTTAGAGTGGCAAGTTTATTTGGTTTTCTCCGCAACCTGGTATCAAAATTGGCAGGGCACCATCAGGGTAATTCATCACTCTCCTAATCAGGTACTTTCATCAGTCTGTTTTATAATTCCCATCCTCAACCTCCTTTTGGTTTAATATTTTTTTCCATATTCAGGGTCCAGTAGCACTTAAAGAAGGTTCTATTCCTATTTAGATTAGAACAGAAGAGTTCTTTAAAGCAAAAGGGTATTGAGCAGTAGAAGAAATAAAGTGTCTAGTTACAACTTTGAAATCCCTCCACTTTGAAATATATTTGCTTTAGAGGTTCCTCCAATATAAAAACAAGTTTACCTCACTGTATCGTGAGATCTAAATTGTTGAATACTAGAGTGATAAAATAACTGCTAACCCACAGAGAAAAAAGCTGAGAGAAAGTTGGTAGAAAAGGAATTTACTTTCCAAATGCAGTCTTCAGCTTCTTGACCTAGTGGTTAAGAAGGCTTAGGAAGACATGTAAGGTAGGAGTTCGGGTCCCACCATCCTCATCCCTATCCCCCATCTAATATACCAAAAACAAGCATATAAAGAGGAATGACTTAAATAGGGAAAAAACTCACACGCATTCCAATTTCTCAGAGTTTACAAGTAACCCATTCTGTTTAACTGTTGACTTGTTGTCTTGAAAACATTCATCCTGCATAATAATGGAAAATTAACATTTTTAGTGATCATTTAAATACTTCTGAGATCTTAGAATAGATGAAAACCACCTGTAATGCAATGAAAAAAAAAGTACCATTGCAAAGATATAATCTAAATAAGCTAGCAAAAGCACAAGCAAGAAAGAGAAGCCAATTGAATCATAACAAATTGTTTGACCTACGGATGGGCTGTTAATTCTTGGTACAAACGCAAGGGCCAAAATCCAACTTGCAATATGATAAAGAAACAGAAATAAAGGTATTTGACTTTGACAAGATTCTTTCTTTACCCTCAATAATAAGTTTATTTTGTCTTTTAGTTGTAATTTATAAGACACCAAGGGATATAAAAGAAAAATTAACGATAAACTCATGTCTATTTGAAGGGGAAAAAATTGAGACCTCCAAAAAAGAAAAGGACAAAAGAAATGAGATAAGAGTTTTTGTTGAGAACTTAGAGAACAATTGTCCTTCTTTCTTATTATTCTTTTCAGAATGAAGGAGTACATCAAAGAAATAGGAACAGTGAAGTTCCTTATTAGGAAACAAATTACATGAAACAAAAAAATAATAAATAATAAAACGAAAGAGAAACAAATCCCTAAAAACTTGACAATAAGAATAATTAACAAAATCAAAAGAATAAATGAAAAATATTCCCCAAATAAATTAGGAAATCAAGCTGCACTAATGTAGAAGAATTAGATCTGCATTAATGTAGAAGAATCAGATTTCTACACTCCCTCTTAAGCTGGGTTATGAATGTTAATCATACCTAGCTCAATCTATCAAAGATGCTTCTAGGAAGAGCTTTAGTCAGAATATCTACAATTTGAGAACTTGTAGGGGTATAGGCCAGTTTGATTGATCCATTTTCTATCCTTTCCTTTATGAAATGTCAATCCAACTCTATGTGCTTGGTCCTATCATGATAAACAAGATTTTTGGCAATACTTATAGTAGCTTTATTGTCACAAAGCAATGTCATAGATGTCACAGTCTTAACTTTTAATTCTCCAATTAACCTCATCAACCAAATTCTTTCACAAATACCATGGGACATTGCTTTAAACTCAGCCTCAGCATTGCTCTTAGCCACAACAGATTGCTTTTTACCTCTCCAAGTGACCAAATTGCCCCAAACATAAGTGCAATATCCAGTAGTAGACCTTCTATCTGTTATTGATCCAACCCAATCAGCATCTATGTACACCTCGACTGCCTTGTCCATTGACTTTTTAAAGTATAGACCTTCATCGGGACTCTTCTTTAAGTATTGTAGGATGCAATAAACAGCCTTGAGGTGCTCCTTGGTTGGATTATTCATGTATCTACTCACTATCCTTACTGCAAACCCAATATCAGGTCATGTATAGGAGAGGTAAATAAGCTTCCCAACTAGTCTTTGGTATCCCCCTTTGTCAGTGAGAGAACTTCCATCTTCACTTCCAATTTTATTAGATGAGTCCATGGGTATATCAGTAGGTTTGCATCCAATCATGTCGATTTCTTTGAGTAGATCAAGTACATACTTATGTTGAGACACTGATATTCCATTCTTAGACCGAGCCACTTCCATCCCAAGGAAATATTTAAGGAACCCCAGGTCCTTCATTTTAAACTCCTTTGCAAGAAGTTTCTTCAAATCATCCATTCCTTCCTTGTGGCCTCCAATGATTATGATATCATCCATATAACCAATAAGAATGACTCCTTGTCTTTCATTAGTGAACTTAAAAAACATAGTATTATCAAATTGACATTGAAGGAATCCATAACTCTTCAACCGTTCAAGCCAAGCCCGAGGAAATTGTTTAAGTCCATACAAAGACTTTTGAAGTTTGCATACTTTGCCCATGTTGTCTTGCCTTTCAAAACCAGGAGGAATTTCCATCTAGACATCTTCCTCCAAGTCATCCATGTAGGCATCCTCCTTCAAGTCACCATTTAAGAATGTATTTTTTATATCAAGTTGGTGAAAAGGCCAATTCAAGTTGGCTGCTAGTTATAATAGAACTATGATTGAATTAAGTTTGGCAACTGGAGCAAATGTCTCCTCATGGTCTATCCCATAAGATTGAGTGAACCCTTTTGCAACAAGTCTAGCTTTGAAACTATTTATACTTCCATCTACATTGTGCTTTATTGTGAAGATCCGCTTACATCCAACCTGGTTTTTCCCTTTGGGCAAATCTAAAATTTCCTATGTCCCATTCTTCTCTAGTGCATTGATTTCTTCAAGAACTGCTACCTTCCAACCTAGTTCATTGAGAGCTTCCTAATCATTGTCAAGATTAGTAGTGAAGGTGCGAAAGTTTGGATTTAACCTTTCATATGAAATATACTTGCAAATAGGGTAGCAGATGCATGATCTCACAACTTTTCTTAATGCAACAGGATTGCAAGGTCATCAACTAGCTCACAAGTTTCTGTTTCAAATTCAATAGGGACATTAGCTATGTTAGTTTCAGGTTCTTAAAGACTCAGATCAGGTTGATTTTTAGTGCTTGGCGGTGTACAGTTGTCCACTTCTTCCTACGGTTTTTGTTTCCTTGAATAGACTATCAGTTCTTTTGTTTTTTCTTATATAAGCTTAGGGTTTGAAGAGTCAACAGTTGTCTAAACAGGTTGGGTTTCAAAATCTGCATGGCTGATATGTTGGGCAGGTTGAGAATCTAGTTTTGAATGGGCTAGTTGGGAATCTGGGGCTGGTTGGGAATCTAGTTGGGCATCTGGTTTTGAAGGGGCTGGTTGGGAAATTGGCAAGTCAATAGCTAAGAATTGATATTCCTGAGTAGTATTCTACCCTTGAATATCATTCTTGTTGTACTATGGAAGATTCTCAAAGAAGGTGACATCCATAGAGCTATAGAATTTTTTTGTTATGGGTGAGTAACATAGATAGCCCTTTTGGTTTGGGGAATAACCAAGGAAGATGCATTTTAAGACTTTGGGATCAAGCTTGCTACGGTTTTGTTGGCTAATATGAACAAAGGCAATGCAGCCAAAGAGTTTGATGGGAATGGAAGAGATCAACTAAGTTTGTGGGTAGGAAGCAAAGAGAGTTTGACAAGGTGTATTAAAGCCAAGAACTCAAGAAGGCATTCGGTTAACCAAATAAGTGACAATGAGGACAACTTCTCCCCAAAAATGTTTAGGCGCATTGGAAGTCAACAAGAGGGATCTAGTCACTTTTATCAAATCTCTATTTTTGCATTTGACAACCCCATTTTGCTGTGGAGTGTCAACGCAAGAGCTTTGATGGATAATGTCATGATTTGTAAGGTAAGGGCCAAGAATAAAGTTGAAGTATTCCCTTCTATTGTCAGTTTTTAGGAATTAGATTTTAGCTTGGAATTGGGTTTATACCATGCTATTGAAGTTTTGAAAGATTTGGCTAACCTCGGATTTTTCTTTCATAAAAAATACCCAAGTGAGTCGAGTATGATCATCAATGAATGTAACAAATCACCTAGAACCTGTGATATTATTAACTCTTGATGGTCCCCAAATGTCACTGTGAATCATTAAGAAAGGCTGAAATGATTTATTAGAAAGGCTAGGATAGGTATTTCAAGTGTACTTTGGAAAGTTAACAAATTTCACACTAAAATCTTTAGAGATGTTATTGAATAATGAGGGAAATAGCCTTTTTAGGTATGAAATATTTGGATGTCCTAATATGTAATACCATAACATGATATGGTCATCCTTATTGGTAATAGAGATTAAGGTTGTACAAGAGTTTTGTGATCTTTCAAGTGCATCATCCTAAAGAAGGTAGAGCCTTGCACACATCCTAGCACTGCCAATAATCCTCCCCAAGCCCAATTCCTTAAATTCACATAAGTTAGGAAAAAATTTAGTGACACAACATCTATCCTTCGTAAGCTTATTAATGGAAAGTAGATTACAGCTTAAATTAGGGACATGGAGGACAGAGTCAAGTGTTATATCATTCGAAACTACAATAGAACCTATTCCTACCACCTCTGAGAGAGAGCCATCAGCAATTTTTATAGCAAAACTATAATATTAAGGTCTATATGTGTTGAATAAGGATGCATCTCCAGTCATGCGATCTAATGCTCCTGAATCAAAAATCCAAGATTGTGTATTTCCCCATTGAACACTTAACGCCTTTAGGAAATTACTTTTTTGTGCTAGTAAACTAATTCCAAAGGTTGCAAACTTGTTTTCAAGGGTTTATTGGAGCATCACCTCTTTGTGACGTTTCTAATGCCATATCTCTACAGAAGAGGAGTTCTCACTCTGGCTAGCCATAGCGGAAACTCATGTGGCTACAATCTAAAGGTTCGGGCAGACTTGCTCTGATACCATGTTGAAAACTTAAAGAACAATTGTCTTTCTTTCTTCTTATTCTTTTTAGAATGAAGGAGAACATCAAATAAATAGGAACAGTGAAGTTCCTTATTAGGAAACAACTTACATGAAACAGAAAAACAAAAAATAATAAAAGGAAGGAGAAACAAATCCCTAAAAACTTGACAATTAGAATAATTAACTAAATCAGAAGAATAAATGAGAAATATTCCCAAAACAAATTAGGAAATCAAGCTGCACTAATGTAGAAGAATTAGATCTGCACTAATGTAGGAGAATCAAATTTCTACAGTTTTGACCAAGTATATTTCCCTTTTTATATCATTCCAACAGAGAAATCTTGTCTGCACAGCTGATTGTATCAACAATCCCAAATATTTTGGCCAACTATCTGGCACTTTAGGGTCCAAAAAATGGCAAATACTTCACTTTAAATGCTGCTTCAAACACACAGATGAAACTTTAAATTATATGAAAGTGGTGGAAAGGCGGTTCACCCTCTATGTTTCTCATCTATGAAAGTGATTGACATTGCAAATTAGACTTCATTCTCAGTTTTTTTTTTTTTCCCATAAATTTGTTATAAACACTAAACACACACATACACACGCAAACAAAAGAACTAATTGCATTAATTCCTTAGCCAATGTCATGATTAAAAAGTGTAAAAGAGAAGAGATCTAACATTTTTCACTCTTTTATGAGAATGCATTGGGAAAGTAGATCAGTAGTAACACATTTAGGATAACAAATCCATTAAAACAAAAAATAAATAAAAACAATTAAATGCAGTACATCAAATTCCAGTTCAGGGGTTCAAGCAAAGCATGTAACTCTAATCAATTCTGATGCAGTGACGGTAGTCTTGACTCATTTATGCAGCAACAAGCATGCCAACACACTAACATAGACACCATAACTACATGCATGATAGTGTCTGGGTAGACACGATACATGTACAATTTGAGAGTATATTTATTATACTTATGTGCAATTATAAATGTATAATTAAACATATTTAAAAGATGATAAGTCTTTTAGAAGTTCAATTTAATAATATCAGGCCACATATACAGGCTCTCATAACAATTATTGAAAGAGAATTTATTAACTTAGCTGAAACAAACATTGTAATAACCACCAACTGCTTTATTTACCATTATTCTCTTCATAAATGATTTTTAAAGAAGCATTTTCAGACTAAAATCCTCATTCATCTTTGAGAATGGTAAGCATTCTAAAGCACCATGTTTTAGTTATGTTACAACTCCAACATCAACCTTGACACAAACTTACCCAAGCAATATCAAGTTAATCACGATTAAAGGACCAAGCAGCAAAAAAGGGGTCACATCTTGACCAAATTGTCAAAGAATTTAGAGGGTAAACTAAATTAGAGACCAATTTCTTATCTTTAAGGGCTCCTGAAAGTGAATAATTGTAAGGAAAGTATAAAGAAACTCCCACATGAACGTAAGTGACCACATATTAACACCTTGTAGTCCAATGCCATCATTAATTGTCATTTTGGACAAGTAAAGTCAAAGATTCATACCAGCCTTTGAGACTACCTCTCTTTGGCAATCTAAGCATTGGATAAAAGATCAAACTCCAGACCCAGCTTCGCTTGTCATTTATTGAACAACCCTTACATCCCAAATCATCTGGACTGCAACTGTCTAATTAAACTAGTCTTGGACAACTCCAAAGCGCAAAAAACTAGAGTTCGAATTTTAAAACGGGGTCTTAAGAAGTCTATGCAATAGAAAACATGCAAAGCTGTAGTGATTATGTGACTTTTACTGGAAGGAGCAGTCATTAAATCATTTGTCCAATTTCTTGTTTTCATGGAACAAGTTAGAGAGATATTGCATTTTCCCTTTTTTATGTCCAAGGTCACAAAATCAAGTACTAATTAGCACTTATTGCTTGGAATAAAAGCAGCCCTAAACATAAGATTATGAAGAAAGGATCATGAATATTGATTAGCCCTTATTACATGCAAAAGTTATAGATGGCTAACCTAGCTTTACCATATACAGTTTCCAAACACCAAACTTTACAAACATCAAGTGAACCACTAGTGGTTAAATTGTGTCAAGAAAGCAATCATTAGTTAGTTCTCATTTTAATATATTAGTGGGTTGATTGACGGCAATGTTTGAAATGAAACATGATCTTTCTTAAAAATGTTATTACAAATATGATTAGAAAAATCAAGAGCAAAAAGTTTACAAAATCATCACAGATTAAACAATATGATTGTCCATCCAAATCATAGAATCACAACTGGAAGCTCTGTATAGCATGTTTGGTCATTCTATTTGAATAATCCTAATTTAAAAAATCACCATGAAATCCTAGAGAACATTCCAAGTCATGAACCTGAACCTGATTGTAGTTCTACCATAATAAGGAAACAAAGACCTTCTATATGCCAATAAATATTCAGGCTAAAGGCAACCAAAGCAGTTATTCTCTTCTAGTTCAAAAAACAACCACAATAAATGCAAGATTAATCTGATTATGTTTTAAAATAAGCTGATATGGAAGAAACTGCAATTTACAAGGTTAGATATCCAAGGTGATATTCAGCCTAATTGAGCTGAGCTGAGTCAATATATGAGAAGCTCGAGCTCAACTCGAAACTTGCTGCACAAAACTCGACTCAAACTTGATCGAGTTTTAATTTTTAAACTCTAACACGACTCAAGATAAAAATTGAGTTACTCAAGCTCGCTCGATTAGGCTCGTTTACCGAACAAAAAACAAGCTCGATTTCCATACTCAACTTCAAGCTTGATTATTTGTGTTCGAACTCGAGCTTGAATTGATATGTATATATACATTTATACACACATACACACATAAGGATAAAAAAATAATTTTTTAATTAAAATAATAAAAAATATATATTAAAATATAAAAGCTTAATTAGGCTTGCGAGCCACTCAAAGACATTAGAATACTCGAACTTGGCTTATTCGATAAATCAAGCTGCTCGAGCTCAATCTTAGCTCGATAATGACTGAGCCAAATTTGAGTTTTACACGAGTTGAACCCAGGTAGCTTGCAAGCACTGATTTATCATTTATACCTCTAAAAACAGCTAATAAAATCTATCAACCTAATAGGTGTAAAGAATTAGCATCTAGCCAGTAAATCATGGACAGTTAGGGAAGTTTCAATATTTTAGTTCCTTCAATAGAGAAGCAAATAGTTAAAAGGGATTGTGCCACAATTACTGAAATATAGCTATTTATATAGCTTCAGTTTCTCTGAATGCCAAGCAATAAGGAGTTTGATTCAATCCAAACTCTGATGGGCTTCAAAGTAGTTTTGATTTCGAAGAACCATAAATTTACCTAAAACATGTTGCTCCAAGCATACCCATATAGTTTATCCATACAACAAAATATGCAAAGCCAAAATTATTAACACAGTATCAGATCAATTACAATTATGAATGTGAAAGACCCAATTAAATTTACAACAAAATACTATCAGAATTATTAATCGCATTCCATTGCTGCAATGTTAACTTCAATTAAAGGAAAAAAAAAAAGCCCCAAACTGCAATCCTAGAAAGAAAAAAAAAAAACATATAGAAGTAGAAGCAAGCAATTTAGTGAAATGCGCTTGAACCAAAAATTCTCACCGGAGAATCTTCATTCTTTCGGGCAGTCAAAGGAGGAGACGTGTTTTGAGCATCTTTGACTAGCCTCTTCCAAGAAACTATCGTGGTCTCACCAGGCCTCAGCTCAATGGTGAATCTTTGCCTGCTAGCACACAACCAAGATGGCGAACCAGCTGAAACCCTCGAAGAGGTTTCCCCACCACCACCAATGCTTTTATCGCCTTCCTCCATGGGGGATCGGCACTCGAAAGTACTTGATTTCTATAGCATTCGAGTTGAATATCAAAAGAATCACTGTGATCTTTCGCGGGAAGGAAGGAGGATTAAGCTGTTTAAACCATGTGATTCAAAGAAATCCTTTGCAATTTTTATTTGCTTTGAATATGCATTTCGCAGGTTTTGTTTTGGTCCTCTCGGGCTCTGGGTATTTGTGACGTCTTTCTTTCAGCGATGGATTTTGATTGGGAAATGACATTGGGAGTAAGGAATTTAAATAAATTAAGAATTAGTGGTTTATTAACAAAATTGCATTAAAAATCTACAAAACTATAAAAATGGATTTGAGATTGAATTCCATTTATCCTGATTTAGAACTATTTCAGATGAATCCTGAATTAATCCATACTTTAAAGATTCAAAGTAGAAAAAAATTTTGAACTCAAAATAATTTCAATCAAAGGAAAATTTGAGTTCGAAATAGACTAAACTTAAAACAATTAGTAATAATCCAAATTTAAAATTAATCTAATGTAAAATTTTAAAATCTAAGTTTTTAATACATAAAGATTCAAATTATAACTACTTCAAAATTAATTAAATTTATTAAATTTAAAATAACCTAAACTTAAGACAATTCGATTTATAATTATTTGAATATGAAACAATCTAAATTTTAAATTATTTGAAGTCGAAATAAAATTAAATTTAAAAATCCAAACTTGAAAATAAATTGATATGAGCTCATTCAATTATCACTTTTGTCCACAAACAAAATTTTGAAAAATCACAATTCATAAATTAATTATTTTTATACTTTCCAAGTTACCTAATTCATTCAAAATAATGTCATAAATGGTTTATAAATTATAGTAAAATATTTGATGTGATACCTAAATTTTAAAAATTTTTAATATGATATTTAAATGTGATTAATTTCAAATGATAATATATAAGGAATAAATAATTTTTCAAATATCATATTAGATAAAAATTCATAATTCAAATATCATATTAAGAATTTTTAAAATTCAAATATCATATTAAATATTTTATTATAATTTAAAAGTTATTCATAGCATTAACCTAAGTTTAAAGGTAAGCTATAGGTTACCTATTATACAAAATTGGTTATATAATAATAAGTTTTAAGTGGCATCAAAAAAAAAAAAAATAAGGACTCATTTGGAACACAATATAAAGGTTAAGAATTTAAATGGAACGTAAGTAAAATATTGGAGATCATGAGTGAAATTAAGCCTACTTTATAAAAGGGATAATGAAAGAAAAAGTCTTAACTTTGTTTTTTAAAATATCTTATAAAGTGTTACAACATGTAAGTCCAAAAATTTGACCGCTAAATGAATTTAAAAATCAAATCAAAATTAAAACAAAAAGTCACCACCAATATTTTTAATAAAACTCTAAAGAAAAAGACTATTTACACTCCCATTTCTTCTCTTTACACCTCACTACTATTAACACCTATCCCTTCTCTTCACACCCCAAATTAAAACACTAATTTCCTAAAAAACCAAACACCCCACCCCCTTTCTTCTTTTTCACCAAAATCCTAAACCCTTAAAAAGCCTTAAATCAAGACCCAATCTTGATTTTGATGTTAGATAGCTTAAAAACATAGGTGAATCATTTTTTTTCTTTTTTTATATTTTGTGCTTAGTTTTCAAAGATTTACAATTTTAAGTTTAAGGGTGCAATTTAAGGTGATGATTTGAGTCTTCCAAAAATGAATTTTTGTAATGCGTTAAAGGTTTTCGAAAATGGATATTCAGAAACTTCTTCAATGTACTGAAAATTTCAAAAATCTTTGAGAATTTTCAAAAGTATATTTTTGAAACTTCTTAATAATTTTTGGACATTTGTTTACAAAATCCTTCAAAAACTTTCGAAAATAGATTTTTGGTATACAATAACCTTTAGCCATTAAAAAAGACTAAATAATTTTTCAATACATAAAAAATAACCTCATATGTCATTAGTAGACTGACAAATCCGTCAATATGGACCTCTAATATTTCAACCACCAGGCACTATACATTTAGTAACATTTGCAACATTTTGTAATTCTAACAAACATATATCTAAGAGAAATTGCTAAAAGGCACTTCTACAAATTGGCTGCTATACCATGTGCGATGGAATGTGATTGACTCATTGCACATGATGCAATAGGCACTTGCACAAAGCACTCTTCACAATTAGCAATTCATTTTAAATGCACGTTTGTTAGAATTGATAAATGTTTCAAACATTATTGAATAGATAGTGTCTGACTGAAAGATTATAGGTTTTTACTGCTGAATTAAACATAGCATACGTCAGAGAAATCATTACAGATCCATTTAGAGATCGTAACAAAGAAAATGAAGTAAAAAATTACTTTAAAAAATGTTATTCTAGATAATTAAAATGCTTTTCAGAAATGAATTTCTAATATAGTTAAGAAGTTTTCAAAAATGCATTTTCGATAACTTACTGATAATAGGTGTAAAGGACAAAAAGATAATTAAGTAATGGGTATTTAAATAATTTTCTATTTGATTAATTTTATGGGGTGCATTGAAAGTTTTTTGGGGTGCGAATAGTCTTACCTAACCCTAAAACTAGTTTAAAATTTATCAAAAAAATAATAATATTGGTCTTTAAAATAGAATTAAGTTTGTAAGTATTATTATGCGTGGAAGGATTAACACCGCACATTGCCCATTTTAAAAATGATACCAATTAATTATATGCTATCTTTACGGTGTTAGATAAAAATGGTTTTAACTTGATATTTAATAATAATTTTTTTCACCTTTTGAAATCAATTTTTTTTAGAAAAAATATGGTTTAGGAATAAAATGAAAAACTTGAGGTTAAAGAATGACCTTAAAACTCCTTATCATCTGAGGGGAATTTAAAAATAACATTTTTTGCTTAAGATTCATCATAATAATCCCTTACAATGAAAATAACATTTTTTATAGATGATAATTATTAATAACTCTCTAATGTCGAGGTAGAGTATCAAAAATTATTTTTCTCAAAATGTTGTTTTAATTTATTTCACAAAAGCCCATTTTTTTCTTTTTTGAAAGAATCATTTTGATAAAAAGAAAACACTTTATGTAGCAAAACTAGTAATGCAACAATTAATAAATAAACAGTAATAAATAAAAAGAATAAACAGACAAGATAAATGCAAACAATTATTTAAAAATAAATAGATAAACATATGCAAATTGATGTCATGCATAATGATGAATGATTAATGAATTTGACCTTACTTATTTTGAAATAAAAATCTTAAGTGCAAACTTATCACTTGGATTCTTCAACACCTAGGCAGGATTTAGGAACAACTTTTCCATCTAAAAATTCACATTTTTTTATGGAAAAAAAGTGTATATATTTTAAAAGAAATTTATTTTTATTTTACTAGACATTTTATTAAAGGATCGTATGAAAATGCTTGATGAAAAAAATTTTTAAATACCTCATCATTTAGGTGGCATTTAGGAATAATTCATTTAATCCAAGATTTATTATACGAATTGTTTGAATTTGGGCATAACTTTAGGGCAAATGGGTTTGGTTTCAATATTGGTTTTGGGGGGTTGATTTTGTTTCACGTTTGCCCTAAGATTTAGGGTTCGATTAAGGTTTAGGCTTTGACCTAGGTTTAGCTTTTACCTAAGGCTTGAGATTTCAAAAAAGTCTAGGGTTTAGGTAGGTTTAGGGTTTTGGAAAAGGTTAGGGTTTCAAGTAGTTTTGAGTTTTAAGAAAGTTTAAGTTTAATATCAGGGTTTACAGTTTTAAGGTTAGACTTTTAGGGTTAGGGTTTAAAGTTTCAAAAAAATTTAGGGTTTCGAGTTGGTATAGGGTTTCATGATCTCTTGAACCGCTCCAAAACCCCCATCATTTGGATAGGTTTTCAAAGCAAACTAAGAGACTATAATCTCATTTTTTCACTAAGGGTTAATGTGTAAGCCAATGTATTAAAATAATGCATGACAATGCTTATGACATTTAAATGCTAAATATGGTATTAGACTACCATGATGATCACATAACAAGAAAATTTTACAAACACTTAGTAAATTAAACCATGCATAAAAACAACCACAAAAGCAAGATGAAAAGGGAAAAGACGGTTTCAACCAAGCATGGAAACTATTTAGGCCAAAAGCCCCTATGGTCTTACCAAAGAAATTTTTGTTGGGCCACTCATGGCAAGTATTAACCTATTGCCAATACTAATTACTAACACTTAAAAACATGATAAAAGATCACATTTTTATTTTATCAAACATTTAGAAAATTCCTAAAATAGTATCTTCTTATTTGGAAATTTTTCATCAAACACTTAGAAAACATATTTATAAAATTATTTTATTAATAAAAACATTTATCAAACACATAACAAACTACCTAAATGGAAACCATTTTTCATCCACCAAAATACATCACAAAGGATCACAAGATGAAAAACTTTTAAACATAAAATCTCAATCATCACAAATAAATCAAAGCATGAAAATCAAACAAAGAAAACATTAATAATGGTGGAAAGAAGTCTCGGCCTAGACATGAAACCCTTAGGTGAGAGCTTCAAATGATTTTTTAGGTGTAATTTTTATCATGCTTCATTTCATACATCTTCTATTAGATTGAAATGATGTAATGATGAATTAAGAAATGTTGTAGAAGAAATCCACCATAGAAAATGTTGTTTTTCCTTTAAAGAAATCAAAGCAAAGCAAAGACTACATGTTTTGTAAACAAAAAAGGGTTAAATATAAAAATGACTCCCGAACTATATATTTTCTGTTAGTTTGGTACCTAAAGAAATAAAACTATCAGATTATTACCTGAACTTTCATACTGTTATCACATTGTTACTAATGATTAACGTTGTTAGTCAACTTTGTTGACATAACATAAATATCAAATAAGATATTAACATGCATAAAAAAATCTAGTCAATTTCACATAAAAAATGCCATATAACCATTACAAGAAAATTCCAAAAAAATTCTAAAAAGTTCAAATAATTCCAAAATATTTCTAAAAATTCTAAAAAATACTAAAATTTTTCTTAAAAATTCTAAAAATTTTTGCAAAATTTTCAAAAATTCTATAACAATTTTAAAAATTTTTAACAAACTTTAAAAAAAATCTAAAATAATTTTAAAAAATTTAACAAAATTCTAAAAAATTCTAAAATTTAAAAAAAATTTAAGAAATTCTAAAACCTTTTTAAAAATTTCTAAAAACATTAAGGAAATTTAAAAATTTTCTAAGAATCTCAAATTTTTAAAAAATTTCAATTTTTTAAAAATTTTGAAAATTAAAAAAAGAATATTTTAATAAAACTAAAATTT